CACGTCCCAAGGTTCTATGCCCCGACAATGCCAAAAGCCTCACATCACAGCAGTTCGTCGACTTCTTTGGCTCGGTTGGCATTCAGGTGATACATCCACCAGACCAAGAACCATGGGCACATGGTGTCGCTGAGAACGCCATCAACCTGGTCAAAACTACAGCCTCCAAGCTTCAGTTCAGCATGCCCGACCAAGATCCAGTACTGACCCTGGCAAGTGCTACCAGCGCGATCAACAACACGGAGTTCAACAAAGGCTTCACTAGCTTCCAATGGGCCTTCGGACGACAGGCATCCGTCGGCGAAGAAGAGTTGAGACGACAATTGATGTCACCCCTGGATCGCAATGAACCTGATTTTGCCAAACTCCTAAACCAAAGGCAACTTGCTGAAGATTGCGCCCGCAAGGCAAAAGCAGCTGTGGTCCTCTCCAAGCTCAAGAACACCTCCATCCGCCAGCCAATTCGGACCTACCACATCGCTCAACCTGTGATGCTGTGGCGGAAGTTCTTGAAGACCACGCTCTACAAGGGACGCAAAGGAGGAAAGAAACACGTCATGAGACCACGTTGGGTTGGACCTGGTCGTGTGGTACTACATGAATGGGTACCTGGACAAGGAGAAGGAGACCGAGTTCAAATAGCTTGGGTGGTGATCGGTAGCAATCTGTACCGAGCTAGCATCCACTCCATCCGTCCTCTTTCTGAACGAGAACAACTTCTTTGGGAAGCACAAGGGGACAACAGCTGGAAGTGGAAAGAACTCAAGGACATGCTACCTGGTCGTGCCTACACCGATGTCACTGGTGAGGAGCCAAAACAAGAAGAGACCTTGGAGCCCTTCCTGCCGAAGCAGCCCAATGAGGAGACCTATATGCCTAAGGTCCGCTTCCACTCCAAGGACAAGCTCAACCGCTTTGGCTTTCCTGGTGATCTACGACCACCTCCTCTCGTTCCACGACTTCCTGAAGAACATGGAGACAACCCCAGCAAGGAGATGCTCAACGACTATGAGGACAAGAAGACTTCTGACGATGACGAGTTCACCGGCAATGAGAACCCTTCCTGGAAGAAACAAAAGACTACTGGTTCCAGGAGAAGTTCAACGACCTCCAAAACACCTCTCCTAGACCCTGGACCTGAAGATGGTGAAACAAAAGAGGGTGAAACAAGACCCGGTGACACGCTTGAAGAGCCCGATGCCAAAAGACCTCGCACCGAGTCTGACAAGGACGACCTCCTGCTCGACCTCAACACGGCGATTCAGGAGATTGACTGTGGCTATGTGATGGAATTTGACCTCAACTTCACCTCCAACCGCCAGAGGAAGATGTTCATGAGAAATCCTCAGGCCTACTTGGTGAAGAAGGTCAGTGGAGCTGAAGTCTGCTACAGAAAGCTCAACGCGGAGGACCGCAAGCTCTTCGACAACGCCAAGGCTTCCGAAGTCAGCAGCTTCATCCGCTCCGAAGCTGTTCGACGCTGTCTCTCCGTCTCCGAGCAGAACAAGGCCAAGGATTCCCAAAGGATCCTCAAGGCCAGATGGGTTCTGGTCTGGAAGCCCGTACCTGAAGAATCACGACAAGAAGCACTTGAAGCAGCCCAGAAGGAGAACACCACCTACTCTCCTGATGGCTCTCGCAAAGCAAAGGCGAGAATCGTGGTTCTTGGCTTCATGCACCCCGACCTCTTGGACCCTTCGTTCAACTCCACGGCACCTGTGCAAAGCCAGCTCATGCGCAACCTCTCACTGTGCATGGTGGCTCAACGAGGCTGGCAGCTTGAAGGTCTCGATATGCAAACAGCATTCCTCCAAACGGGCAAGACTGAAGAAGCCCGGGAGATTTGGACCTATGGTGTCCCAGAGCTCAAACAAGCTCTTGGTGCTGAAGAACATGAAGTTCTTCGAATCCTCAAGAACGTCTACGGCAACTCCACAGCACCTCGAGGACTCTGGGAAGATGTTGACCGCACCTTCACAAAGCTTGGTGGAAAGAGGATTTTGGGCGACTCATCATTTTGGGTCTGGACTCGCCCGAACCCCAATCCTCGAAATGAAGGTGACCAGTTCGAAACCATCGGATTTGTTGGCGGCCACGTCGACGACTTCAACAGAGCCGGCAACCTCGAATGTGAAGAATGGCTCAAAGTCCGCCAAGAGATCGACAAGGCCTACAAGTGGGGAACGGTCAAAACCCAAGAGTACCGTCACACAGGCCTGGATCTACAAGTCTGTGAACGACAAGGTCAACGATGGGTTCAGCTGAGCCAGGACTTCTATGTCGAGACGATCCCCGACCTGGCCATAGACGACCACAGACTTCGAGGAGACCTTCAACAAGAAATGTCACCAGCCGAAATGGCAGCATGTCGCGCTTCACTTGGCGCCTTGCAGTGGGTTGCTACACAAACCCAATTGCAAATATGTGCCCGAGTGAACCTCCTGCTGACCGAGCTCACCGTCCTAAAGACCCTGCAGGTTGCAAAGGAAATTCGAGACCTCATCATCGAGGTACGCAGGGAGCCTACAACATTGAGAATGTGGAGGCTGGACGATGTTGAGCACTGGCAGGACACCACTGTGGTGACGCTGGCAGACCAAGCCCATGCAAATCGCCCCAAAGGCGATAGCACCGGCGGCCTCATCACCTGTTTGGGTGGCAAGGCCCAAAATCGAGGCGAGCCTGGAAAGCTCAATGTGGTGGCATGGCGCACTTGGCGCCTATGCCGCAAGGCCATCTCGACAAATGATGGCGAAATCCAGTGTATCCTGGAGGGAGAAGATCACAACTATAGATCAAGATTGCTTTGGTGCCAGCTAAACGGATGCTGTGCACTACCTCCAGGAGATCAACTGGCACGAGCAAACTTCATGATGAAGTTCCTCAATGGCATTGTGGCCACTGACAGTAAAGGTGGCTTCGACGCTGTGACCCGCAGCGAGGGGCCAATGTTGGGGCTAAGCAACGCCCGAAGCGCCTTACAGGCATACCAACTCCGTGAACAACTTCAAGAATCTCTTTGCCGACTCATATGGATCTCCGGAGATTGGAACCTGAGCGACGCCCTCACAAAGAAGCCCAAGGCAGCTCGTGAAGGACTCAACCAGTTTCTGAAAAGCTGCATTTGGCGGCTCAGATACGACCCGCAGTTCATCCAGAGCGAGAAGAGGGCAAGGCAGCAAGGCAAAAGCGCAGTGGCCCAAATGAGAGAGCTTCAATGCTTGTGCCCTGGCTACCTCCCCGACAACTTCGAGGGCATGATGGTGGATGCTCTCGAGGACACTGAGGGAGAAGCGCTCTAAGCTCGCAAAGCCAAAGAAAACTTTGAGCTGATGCGATAGCGGTTTTTCCATGTTTGGCTTTCATGCTCGCATGAACCTTTGCACCTGGCCTTTCAGGCCTTGAGCCCCGGCTCAAGCAGCGGAAAAGGTCGCTTGGCGCGACCCTCGTGTTCGCTTCGGCCACTTGGTGTGGCTTCGCCATTCGCTGCGCTTCGACTACGTGGTTTGGTTGGTTTAGGGCACCCCTAAAGCCCTATTTGGCTACCGCAGCATTCTAACTTTCAGTCCGGCAGTATACTTGGTTTAATGATGTTTATAGAATGAAATTTGGCTGATCTATTGGTTGCTTCCCGCAAACCCAGCCATCCATCCAGCAGATTTATGGATAGAAATGGCTGTCCAATCGGCTCCATTGCTGCTTCAGTCGCTGATGGCGCCTGGATGGGGATGGAACACACCACCCGTCGTTGCTTCCGTTCCTGGAGCCCAATTGACATGACCATCGATTGGTATTGTAGGGGGCAGTGCCATCTGCTGAGAAGAATACGTTGCCATCAGCACAGCTGTCCGCTGTCCACTTCGTTGGTCCAGTTGGTCCCTCCACCAGCATTGGCGGACGACAGCCCGGCGTTGGACAGCCCGGCGCGAGGTCGCATTTTTAAAAAAATACAAACACCCGGAGGGCCCTGTTCCAGCCAGACGTGTGGATTGGTAGGCAGTTGCGTTGGCCAACCATTGGCCGTTTCCAATGTTTTTCCACCTTCAAGTGCTTGTTTGACTGAGCAAGATTCTCAGAATCAGGAACAGTTTGCACCAGAGTTTGGGAATTTGAAGCCCCGAAGAGAACATAAGAAAAGCTTCTCATGAAAGCCGGTCATTTGGACGAGTGGATGCCGGTCATTTGGACAAATCTCTTTACACTCTGACCAACATGGAAGTGGATGGCATGGTCTCTTCGAAGACAGCTGTCCTGGACGAACAGGGCACTCCACGTAACCATGCAGCGCGACAGAGGGTATGTCTTCCAAGAGAGGTTGAACAGCCTTATAGCCCATCCCATAATTACGTACCACTATGGGGTCCTATAAGGTCTCTCAACCTCTCTTGGTTCTACCAAACAAATGCCGGGTGCCCCGGTGCCCGCGCTCCCCCCACCCCTTGAGGCCGCTGAAGAGGACCCAGAGCGGTCCAGTGACACCAAGCGGCAGCGAGCCTTGGACACCGACGCGGAAAGCGACGCGGAACGCACGCACGGCGCGTGAAGGGGCCGGAAAAGCAACGTGGCAGGGAGGAGGCGGACAGGCGAGGGACGGTGTGGAAGACGTGTGAGGCGGGTGGATGGGGTCACCCTTTGGCTCTTGGTGCCTCGGCATGCCTCGGCTTCCAGTTCAGCAGCGCCCATTTTGAGAGGAACATCCAAGCATCTCGAAGCACACCCGGCAGAGAGAGAGAGAGAGAGTGTCCACGATGGGTGTTGTTTTTGTTTATTCTATATGTATAGTATCCGCAGGTCCATGCAAGGATCCAGATCCATGCCCAGTTACAACTGTTCAAAGTTGGTTCAGTCACGACAAAAATTACAAAGTTGGTTCGAACCATCGCTCGCACCCAGGAGATCACAGCCTCAACCGGAAGCGCTTTGAGCCGCCGGCGCCCACGAGTGCACCGATCTCCACAGAGGAAGTGCCCTCGTCGCCATCGTCCCCCTCTGCACCTCCGATGACCCCAGAGCGTGAGCTGCGAGACGAGGACGTGGCGAAGCGCGCGCGGACGAGGCCGAGGAGCTTGTCGGGAACATCACCTGCGCCTTGGATCGAGATGGGTTCCTGTAGATCACATCGCCCTTTTCATCTTTTTTTGGCAGTCTAGGCAAGTACAAACTATATAGTAATATGATATGATATGATACGTGCTCATTAGATCATAATTAGTATAGGTGCCTCTCTTTTGCTCCACCCCTTTTCTTTGCTTAGCCTCTCTTTTGCTCCACCCCTTTTCTTTGCTTATGCCAAAAGAGAAGAAAGGCGGCTCCGGCTCAGAAAATAATCAATCATGCCCCATCTGGCCACTTCATCTCTTACATGATTTAGGCCAGAAGGAACAAGTCATTCTATCTGGCAATTCCAAAAAATATTCCTATATATATATATTCCCATTTATATTCCTATATATATATATATTCCTATCTGGACATTCCTATATATTCCCATTTGCCTAAGTCATTTCGGATCATTCCTATATCTTGTTCCTTTTCTATCCGACACCCGAGGCCTTGCCGCCTAAGGGCCGTCCCGCGCCACGCGGCCGCCACCGCGCCGCGCTGGCGGCCGCGGCGGTGCTGGCAGAGGAGGCGATGGGACCAGCTGCTGAGGTGCGGGCGCGGTCCTACACGAGGCGGGGAAGTTGGACGTTGGGGTGGTGAAGAGTAGGGATTCTTTGTTCTATTCCTCTCCCAAAGGCCCTGAATTCGCTCCTCTGACAGCCTGGACTGCCTGCCTTACTGCAGTCCAAGCCTCTTCCAAGAACCCCATAGCAGCAACGATTTCGCCAACCCTGTGGCTGAAAATGCCCCAATTGACCTAGGCCTTCCACTGAAATGCGGTGTAATACTGCAGGTCCTGCCGGACCATCGACCTACGTCCTAGACCATGTCCTTCGCCCAGGCACCGCGCAGCCATCCTGGAGGGCCGTGCCTTGTGGGACTCCGAGCCGCCCTCACACGCACCGCCGCGGCGCGCCCAGTCGGTGCCCACCGCCGAGCCGGTGCCGGGAACGGTGGGAACGGTGCCCTGTCGGGAGCAGCCACGGAGCAGCGGTCGCGCCGGAGGCCGCGCAGTGAGAGGAACAAGATCGGGTGCCTTGCATGAGGCTCGAAAGGACTGTTGATCCAAGTTGGAAGTTGCTGGAAGCCATGGATTTTGGTAGTTTTGCTGCTCGGACACAGTGGATGATCAGCAGTCCAATAGTGTTCCTTTTTTCATCTTTTTTCTCAAAAGGGCGACCCTATCCTCACCCTGCTTCTTTAGCAAAATAGACGATATTCAATACTTGTGGGGTAGGCCTTTTGTTTTGAAAAAGTGCGTGAGCCCATGAGCCCTAAGTTTGCTTTTGGCAATCAGCCTGGCTTGCTTATTTCAAAGGAAAAGCAGTGCCGCGGCTGCAATAACAAGCTCCGGATATTCTTCGTCGGAGCTACCCATATACTAGATGGAGGCTGCTTGTACAGCCTGCTTGCCTCTTTCCATTCCAGTTCAAATCTGACACGTAGCAGCCGCTGGAGATGATGTGTGGGTTGCTTTCCAACCATCCATTGTCAGGACGGACAATTTTCTAGTTGAATTTCAATCCATGGCCCACGCAATTCACAATCCCTTCAGTGGAATTGTTATAAGTTGGATTTCCATTGTGACAATGGACGCAAAAAATGAAATATTGT